TTTTCAGACCGATGAGTTTTGTAAAAATCGACGCGTTTCAGGAAGGCGGGGCATAGAGGAGAAACAATAATGTAAAGTGTTTTTTGAACTTTAAACAGCATAAACACATTTCATTACACCAAATACACAAAATAATGTTCTTTTTAGCAACATCATATGACCCCTTTAAGGTGTCTAGTATTAATATATGAATTCACATATATTCAGTTTTGTTGAGTGTGGTCATAGAATGAGTAAACATATTGATGGTCACAATAGTGACCAGTGGGATAACAGTAAACTTAGGTTTACAATATAAATTTAATTGCAGTTGCTAGTGAAAATTACACTAAAATGTTGCAATGACAACATATTGCACTAAATTAAAAATTCACATTAAAAATGTACAATATTGATGTTGTAATACTGGTAGTACTAATATAAAAATTTGATGTTATATTTTACAAAAAAAGTAACAATTTTGAAAAGCGTTGATGGTTGAATTTCTTTGTTTTTTATTTCAGTGTTCCTATCAATATTGCATAAGGTTTCTTATGCACATTAATAACCCTAGAATGTGATCAAACAGTTTAAAATAGCTGGGCTAAGATATATAACAATTTTTATGACTGCAGAAATATGTTAATTCAGTACTCACCTTATCGCACCGGTCACAATTGTGACCGACCATAAAACACAATTTTTCACACACTTTTCCAAAAAAATTTTCAAAACAATTATTATTGGTTATTTCAAAGGGTTACTAATGACACATCATTTGGATATTTTCATTTCTGGGAAAAATATGTGATTAAACGGGTTAAGTGTATAGTCTTGAAAAGAGACTCATCAGTTGTTTTTGTTGTTGTTGTTTTTTTTACTGATATTCAAACTTGTAACCAATAAATGCCACCATTTGGTATGTCTCTAAAAAAGCATCCCACTGCTCAGACATTCATTCTTGATTAATAATTGGCTAAAACAAATATGACATTCATTTTTGCGACCATTTAGAACTCAAAACAACTTTTATAATATTATTTAAAAAACACACACACACAAAATACAACAAAATACACATACTTTTGTTTCGCTATCTTAGTGAGGACATTGCATAGACTTCCACTGATTTTCTATCAGGTTAATGGCATTTTCTATCACCAACCCTAAACTTACTGATCACAGAAACATGTGCAGACCACTAGATTTAAATAAAAAACACATCTTGGCTGATTTAAATGCCTTTTTAACTAGTGAGGACCATTAAAATGTCCTCACTAGTGGGTTGTCAGTATTTCACAATATAAGTGAGGACATTTGGTCCTCACAAGTACAGACAAAACAAGTACAGATATATATTAGCAGTATTACTTAATATTGATCTCTAAGTTTCTCTTAAAGTTTCTTGTAATGGTTAACTAAATAAAAAAAAAAACATTTCACTGACTGATACACTTATCTTCACAAAGAGTTTCTTTTCATGAACCCTCCAGTATGGAACTTTGCCAGTGGTCATCAACAAATGGAAATACTGAATATTCCCGTGCACTCCCAAGCATGCATAGAAAATCAGAGCTGTATCTGTGGTGTTAAATGTGAGAAGGGGGCCAGCTGGCAACCCTGACTGTGGCCTTCACTCATTTAACACGTTGCCTTGTGCTTCGCTCTCATTCTATATCTCACACACACTCACAAAAACATGGTCCAATTTCATCAAGAGAAAGGAAAACATGCACCTGCCCTTAACAAAACCTCAGGGCTTTAACCTTTAAAAGCAGATAAGAAGAGTGACCAAACACCGGACAAGGTCAGTGACTCACAGCCACCTAGCTCTGATTTCCCATGGGCCTGTGACACATGCAAACATGCTTATCAAAATCACACACAATATATAACACAGGTTATGAAATATGTGACATGTCAGATATTACAATGCACAAACAATTTGTATAATGGTAGTTTACATTAAATACTTGGATATGCTCTATTTCACTTACAACTACTTTAAACAGCATTTTGCTGGTTATTTTATAATTATGCATTATGCATTTTTTAATGGAACTCACACAGAGAGATTACATGCAATATTTATACTTTAAAAAATCAATTTGTCGAACCATAAGACAATTTAAGATGATCTAATCAAAAGACAAAAAAGTGATTAAAACGGTGACAATTCTGGTGACCAGTTACTGATTTAACAGTGTAAACTATTTTCAGTATCCTTTTAATATTATAATCTGTCACTTAGTATGACAGGATTCATATTTGGAAGTTATTACCCCCAAAAAAGAAAACGTTGTCTCTCATGAGAAAGTGTTGCAAGTGTAACCCTGATTAGATCTAGTCCTCTTACCTCCTTTCCTTTTGCCCGTTTTTCTCTAAAGCCACAGTAAAAGGAGGCCTCCTCATTCCCAGCTGTATAAAAGACTTGATCCAAACAGCCAAAGAGGATTCTGCACTGTGAATGTCACTCAAGAGTTCTACAAGTTTCTCGTTGAGTGCAAAGTGTTGCAATACATGAAAAGGGGCAAGCAGTGTTTTCTTTTCACTTTACACACTGTGAGTGACTGTTAACGCTGCCATTCCCATTCATTTTACAGAGATCGTTATTTTTGCATTACACAGTGTACATTTCACCACAACTGTAATGGTCCTGTAAAAACGTACACAGAGTTACTGACACGTGTAAGTTGAAATAATTATCTGTGACTCCTGCCATATGTTCCTGATATTTGATATGCATCATTCAGAGTCGCATTTTTGAATGCACATCAAAAGTGGGCCTTATTTATTTTTGTATTTATATCAACATTTAGACTTTAATGTTAAAAATTGACAAGATTGTATTTGGGAAAGTTTATATTGTATATATCAGTTCCGGGTCACCATTTTTCATTTAGTATTTTTATTCACTTTTTTACTTCCATTGGTTCATTTTAAATGGCCCAGCAATACAACAAATGCATAAAAATGTGAGATATAGCATTGCAATTGCAAGAAACAAAGTGAAATGAAAACAATTAAATGAAATAAAGATGCAGTTAAATGAAAGAGTCACAATTGTGAAATTTAACAATCAACTTGCATTATATAAATTCACAAGAGGAGATATAAAGTGGCAATTATGAGAAATAAGGATGCAATTAAAAGAAAGTCACAACTGCAACATTTAACAGCTTGCAAGATATAAATTTACATGAAGTGGCAATTATCAGAAATAAAGATGCAATTAAAAGTGTGAAAATTGCAAAATATAACTGTCAAATGGCAAGACATAATTCACACTGGGAGATATAAAGTGGCAGTTATGGGAAATAAAGAAGTAATTGCTTATTTTTATTAACAGGTTTCTGTTATGTAGTCTTTCCTTGGATAGGTCAAACTGCATGCATAAATAATTATAAAACGACTAACAAAATGCTATTTAAAATAGTTTTAGATGCAGTAAATGCAGAATGTCACACCACAGAACATATGAACTACCCGTCCAAAGATGTTGAAAGCATATGTAACATTTGCCAGCGAGTCCTGACATTTCACTTTCACATTTATCAGCACATTAAACTTTAAATGTATTCATTTGGCAGACACTTTCATTCAAAGTGACTTCAAGCTATGTATTTTTTCAGTATTCTCTGTCATGAACTTCACTCATCCACCTGCACTTAAGAGTCTCCAGCAGGTCAGCACTGAAGCTGACGTCTCTGCCCTACAGACCGACTTCTGCATATTAAAACAATGAGGGCCATCTCACCTTAGAGTTCTTCAGAATGTGCTGAGAATTCCAAATCGCTATCATGGTCATGATGAGGAGCGTGCAAAGTGTCTAAGGTCCCATTAAATCTAAGAGTGGACGCGATCAGCCTTTGCGAGCGTCTCTTTCGCCTCTTCTCCTTGGATATTCAAGGCAACTCCTCCACAGAGGGAGAGGTGCTGTCATCACAAATTCCCCAAAATCCCCACAGGCAACGGGAAGCCTGAGCATGCAGTGACTAAGTTATTCAGAGTAAGAGTGGAAGGGGAGGAAGAATGTATAGTTGTTAGAATGATGGTTTGGAGGAGGAGTTACGGCTAAGGGGAAAGGGCGAGAGAGAGAGGAAGAGAGAGAGAGAGATAGATACTGTTGTGTAAACAAGGCCTGCATACAGCATATTTGGATGTAAATGGACTGGCTTTAATTGTGAAGGAGAACAGATCCATGTCTCATTGTATAGCTCTGCCCCCCAGTTCAACAGGCTGGATGCATTCCAGGTTACGCCACCGTCAAACCCACAGAAAGCCATACGGATACTTACAAAACAAAAGGAATGGACGGAACAGGAAAGAAAAGGAGATATTTTACTTTACCATGGCTTTTGCCTTTGGGAGAACTGTCCGGATCACCAAGGAAGTCCTGCGGCTGTGTCCAAATCCTAGGGGATAAGTCAATGACTTATCAGACAGCGTTTTTGTATGAAGGTACTTGGTTTCCAGGGAACCATAGCATCACATCTAATGATATGGAACAAAATTCAAGAGCACTTTAGAGATAATCAAGCAAATATTTAATGGCCACAATTCGTATTTCTTGGTAGAAATGGAATCCTACAATGAAAAAAAAAAAAAAAACTTCTAAAACTTACATTTAAAAAAAAAAAAAAAAAAAAAAAAAAGTTTAAAAAATAGGTCAACAGGGATTTTAAAAGTCTAATAATATTTTGAAAACAATTTATAAAAATTTCATTTTTAAAAATTACATTCATAAAAATTATTATTTTAAAAGTCAGTTTAAACTGTATACAGAATTAAGTCAAAATAATTTATAAAAATACTTATAAAACAATCAAAATTTAAGCATTTAATAAAAAGATTGCTTCTTATAAAACTTTGGATTCAGACATGCTCTGATTCTCCATAGATTGGACTATCCATGTTTCTGACACATGCACCTTTTATCTGTTAAGGTACCTTATATAAAAACTCCAGTACTGATGTTCTCTTGTCCTAAATTACCCCTGCATTTCCTGTGTTTGAGAAGCATCCATCAACATGCTTGTTCACCACGGTCCTCGTTCACCCTAGAGGAAGCAACGGTCACAAATCAACACAGACTCCTGCTGACCCCATCTAGAGACAGAGAGAGGAAAGAGGAGGGAGAAAGCGAAGGATCCCCTTCATTCACAAAACACTCTTCCATTCTGCCTGCAGCCACTATCAACAATGCGTTCACATTACTCAAATATGGTACTCATTTTACATTGGTCCAAAAATAAAAGCCTCGTTAGCAATTTAAATGTTTCTGATGTAAAAAATAATAAATACATAAATATATAAATAAAAAAATAAAAAAAACATGAAATAACTTTGAAACTTGCAACTCTCAGACTCAGTCACTTGTATGTCGCCCAAGTACCATATTGTTACTTTATACACCTGAAGAAATCCCAAACCTTTAAAGAAGTGTTTACACCACACTAAAACATGTCATATATTAACATTTTCTGAAGACAAAAAAAATGTGAATGATTTTCACCTATATATAAAACTTGCCACCACACTGATTACAGTGTTTTGAGTGTCTTTTACCATCTTTTACCATACTTTACAGTTACCAGGGTATTAGGTGGTTGCATACTAGTCCAAGTAAAAAGAGACCACTTTCTATGATATTCTGATATGGTTACAGAAATGGTTAGAAACTGTACAATTTAACATATCATACATGTTCGTACACTGAACAAAAAAAATTGGTGCAGAAATTTTTTTACACACAGAAATTCCTAGTAAATTTTGTAATAAATGACAAAGAAACAGCATATAACACATCAAATTAAACATGTAATTTTGAAGTACAAAGACAAAGTAATAATTTGATATTATTAGGCATGGTAATAACCCTCAATTCATTACCAACAAAATAAATCAAATAAAGAAACACTGAACAGCAGCCAAAGCAGGCTCAGCATTGCCATGGGCGCTGCCAAAATTGACTCTGAGACTCCATAATCTTCAAAGGCACTCGAGCAAGAAAAAAGCAAGACCTTCTCAAAAAGAGAGGGCTGTCACCACCAGTCTGTACTACATGGGGATCACCACAAGGGCAGCAGATGAAAAGCAGCAGCAGGCTGAGCGATAGGCAGGACTGTGTGAATGGATGTCTTTATTTGCAGCGGTGGAGCCCTGGAGGTGTGGTGACCCTTCTTCGCACTGTGGGGGTCCGGCTTAAACACAGCTGGATCTTCATGTAGCTCAGCCAAAGAGGCTCTCTTCTGATCTCTTTCCTCCAGCACTGAAAAGCAGCCCTGTTTCTTGGATTCTCTATATGTTAGATTTGTGGTGCGCCCTTACTGAGAAGACAAGGAGCTTTCTCTCCTGTAGAAGTGCAATAACGCACATCAACTGAATGCCACAGAGCTGTGCTTCTGCAGTGCTCCTCTCACGGAGAAGATCAATCATTAAACGACCTGTTCAGCTTTCTGAACGTCCAAAGATCCTAACTTAAAATGCTGCTCATGTCCAGTTATGTCAGTTATTTCTGACACAGATTGAAAGATTTTAAATCAGATCAGAGAACTCGCATATTGAGTGATCATGTCATATTTATGCTTTCAAAAATGAATTTGTCAAACCATAAGACCAACTGACCAAAACTCAGATATTACAATGCACAAACAATTTGTATAATGGTAGTTTACATTAAATACTTGGATATGCTGTATTTCACTTACAACTACTTTAAACAGCATTTTGCTGGTTATTTTATAATTATGCATTTTTTAATGGAACTCACACAGAGAGATTACATGCAATATTTATACTTTAAAAAATCAATTTGTCGAACCATAAGACAATTTAAGATGATCTAATCAAAAGACAAAAAAGTGATTAAAACGGTGACAATTCTGGTGACCAGTTACTGATTTAACAGTGTAAACTATTTTCAGTATCCTTTTAATATTATAATCTGTCACTTAGTATGACAGGATTCATATTTGGAAGTTATTACCCCCAAAAAAGAAAACGTTGTCTCTCATGAGAAAGTGTTGCAAGTGTAACCCTGATTAGATCTAGTCCTCTTACCTCCTTTCCTTTTGCCCGTTTTTCTCTAAAGCCACAGTAAAAGGAGGCCTCCTCATTCCCAGCTGTATAAAAGACTTGATCCAAACAGCCAAAGAGGATTCTGCACTGTGAATGTCACTCAAGAGTTCTACAAGTTTCTCGTTGAGTGCAAAGTGTTGCAATACATGAAAAGGGGCAAGCAGTGTTTTCTTTTCACTTTACACACTGTGAGTGACTGTTAACGCTGCCATTCCCATTCATTTTACAGAGATCGTTATTTTTGCATTACACAGTGTACATTTCACCACAACTGTAATGGTCCTGTAAAAACGTACACAGAGTTACTGACACGTGTAAGTTGAAATAATTATCTGTGACTCCTGCCATATGTTCCTGATATTTGATATGCATCATTCAGAGTCGCATTTTTGAATGCACATCAAAAGTGGGCCTTATTTATTTTTGTATTTATATCAACATTTAGACTTTAATGTTAAAAATTGACAAGATTGTATTTGGGAAAGTTTATATTGTATATATCAGTTCCGGGTCACCATTTTTCATTTAGTATTTTTATTCACTTTTTTACTTCCATTGGTTCATTTTAAATGGCCCAGCAATACAACAAATGCATAAAAATGTGAGATATAGCATTGCAATTGCAAGAAACAAAGTGAAATGAAAACAATTAAATGAAATAAAGATGCAGTTAAATGAAAGTCACAATTGTGAAATTTAACAATCAACTTGCATTATATAAATTCACAAGAGGAGATATAAAGTGGCAATTATGAGAAATAAGGATGCAATTAAAAGAAAGTCACAACTGCAACATTTAACAGCTTGCAAGATATAAATTTACATGAAGTGGCAATTATCAGAAATAAAGATGCAATTAAAAGTGTGAAAATTGCAAAATATAACTGTCAAATGGCAAGACATAATTCACACTGGGAGATATAAAGTGGCAGTTATGGGAAATAAAGAAGTAATTGCTTATTTTTATTAACAGGTTTCTGTTATGTAGTCTTTCCTTGGATAGGTCAAACTGCATGCATAAATAATTATAAAACGACTAACAAAATGCTATTTAAAATAGTTTTAGATGCAGTAAATGCAGAATGTCACACCACAGAACATATGAACTACCCGTCCAAAGATGTTGAAAGCATATGTAACATTTGCCAGCGAGTCCTGACATTTCACTTTCACATTTATCAGCACATTAAACTTTAAATGTATTCATTTGGCAGACACTTTCATTCAAAGTGACTTCAAGCTATGTATTTTTTCAGTATTCTCTGTCATGAACTTCACTCATCCACCTGCACTTAAGAGTCTCCAGCAGGTCAGCACTGAAGCTGACGTCTCTGCCCTACAGACCGACTTCTGCATATTAAAACAATGAGGGCCATCTCACCTTAGAGTTCTTCAGAATGTGCTGAGAATTCCAAATCGCTATCATGGTCATGATGAGGAGCGTGCAAAGTGTCTAAGGTCCCATTAAATCTAAGAGTGGACGCGATCAGCCTTTGCGAGCGTCTCTTTCGCCTCTTCTCCTTGGATATTCAAGGCAACTCCTCCACAGAGGGAGAGGTGCTGTCATCACAAATTCCCCAAAATCCCCACAGGCAACGGGAAGCCTCAGCATGCAGTAACATTCAGAGTAAGAGTGGAAGGGGAGGAAGAATGTATAGTTGTTAGAATGATGGTTTGGAGGAGGAGTTACGGCTAAGGGGAAAGGGCGAGAGAGAGAGGAAGAGAGAGAGAGAGATAGATACTGTTGTGTAAACAAGGCCTGCATACAGCATATTTGGATGTAAATGGACTGGCTTTAATTGTGAAGGAGAACAGATCCATGTCTCATTGTATAGCTCTGCCCCCCAGTTCAACAGGCTGGATGCATTCCAGGTTACGCCACCGTCAAACCCACAGAAAGCCATACGGATACTTACAAAACAAAAGGAATGGACGGAACAGGAAAGAAAAGGAGATATTTTACTTTACCATGGCTTTTGCCTTTGGGA